CAAACTAGATTAATCAAAAAATTCTATTTAAAAAACAATATTTTTCTGATAATATTTTTTATAGAAGTATTTTTAACAAAAATACTCGAAAAATTTTTTTAAAATGAAGTGCTGAAAAATCATAACAAATTTTTAACAAAATGTAATCTTAATTGTACAATTTATCTATATTTCATTACTTAGAGTATAGACAATACACAAATCGTATTCCAAAAGTCCTTCGTAGTCCTTTAACAGTACCATTGAATGCCATAAATTTTGCTATGCCTTAAAGTCATATATTATGTGATCTCAAATACATTATATTTAAGTCAAATTTGGTATTTAGTAATATCTAGTCGGACACTAGATACACTAGTGGGACACTTCTCCCACTACTTGCTGTAATATTCACGATCTTCTGTTGTGATACTAAATGTTGATACTGAACCATAGCCGTAAACGTTTGGCAGAATTTAACTCAGAGTTTAACACATATAACAATATAATACAACATATAACTATATATAATAGTTAATTGACTCCAATATATAACTAATTTGAAAAACTTTAAATGAGAAATTTATATAATATATATATGTCGGTTGCATATAGATATATACTTGTATGATCATATGCGGCCCATTTTTTAATTTCGTGCTTCTAAGAAATGCATCCATCCCAATAAAGATTGCTTAATTTTTCAAATATTTTAACAAATCAAAATTATTTTCTTTAAATATTTTAAAAGAGTTGCAAAAAACAAATTATATTATTTAATTTGTCACTTCAACAATTTTGAATAGCACTTGAATTACTTTCCAATCAATTTCATATAATTATCTTTATATTTCTACAGATCTGCGAAATTCTTTAAAAGTTAGACTTTATGGTTTTTATTTGACATTAATAATATTAAAAAGTTATAAATACATCGATTAAATAATTGACTATATATAAATTATAAAATAATTTAAAAAAAAATTCGAATATTTCTTAAAACCATTTATGATGAGTACTTGGCAATATTCGAAACAGCGTTGTGTGGTCAGCCAAACTTCAAGAAATTAACTAAAATTTTTGTTGTTGTCTTTTCATTTCTATCTGAACCCTTCAAAATTATTTATAAGTTATTTTTTATAAATTCTTATAGTCCAATAATTTTATACGAACAATGTATCAAAAGATGCTTCCAAAGATTTATAATCATGGATATTTGGTGGTATCCGAAAGAACTAGGTTAGTTCAAACATTTATTTGATTTAAAATAAAATTTTTACATTTAAGAATTTTAACTTTTTTAATTCGTTTAAGAGCGAACTGCAACATCTTATAGTATTTATTATTTTTGTGGATACTACTTCCCTATGCTCTTACCAAGAGCAGTGATACTCGTATTAACCAAGAGAGTCATAAACGCAGATAGATTTCTTTTCTCATTTTTAATTTACAATTAGTTTTAAAAAAATTATAAAAGTAGAATAAATTATAAAAATAGAATTTAAATCTCAATTTATTTTATCTCTTTAATGATAATGATAGTATTTTGCAAGGAAATATTTTATTTTATATATAACATATAGTAGTGGTAATGAGACATTGTGACCAAACCCATAGTCAGATATTTACTTCGGAGTGCTGTCAAATAATTTTAGTTTAATAATGTATAAATATGTATGGCTGTTTGACCATGGGAGATAAGCAAATATACTTTCACTGCCCATAGTTAGCGATTATTAGCGATTCTTCACTGTTTTACTATAGCATTCCTCGCAGAAAATCTAAATAAATAAAAACTAGATTCATGCCCATGACCACATGTATTTTGACAGATCTTTCATCTTTATCGATATACAGTCTGTCTATAAATGAAGTACTTCGAATCATTTCGGGAAAGTATTCGGTATCTCCAACTTCACACCTTGCCTACGTATCTACCTAAGTACCCGACTATGACTTATAATTAGAATTTTGCTATCAGCGAAGAGTGTCTTTGAAACTAATCTACTATAAATATTTTTAAGTTCAATATTCTAAAAGTCATTTTCGTTCAATTTAAGGATGCTGACAAACCTACAAATATCTTTTGATTTCGGATTTTTACTAAAGGTAATTAGCGCAATATGCAGGTGCTGGACTTCTCTTCTGACACTCCAGTGACTAGAAGTTTTACTAGTAGTTTCATCATTAGTTTATTTTAGTTAGCATTATTTACTGACTTTTTTACTCTCTCTTTCTAATGTCTAGTATTGTCTTATTTATTTTTATTATTTTCAAGATATTTATTAATAAATTAAAATTTTTCTATTTATTTTATTCTATTTATTTGTCTGGTTTTTGGATTAATTCTAAAGCCTAGAAGGCAACACAATATCAGAAAATTCCTTAGCTTTAGATCCTGTACTATTGCAATGCCTACTATTATATGGGCTGATAGTGCGTTCCATGGGCAATTAAGTACAATATTTCCTCATACTTTTCCATTATGGATTTATGCTTTAACTTTGCTCACATTTTTCAAAATTTTTCCCATGTTTCGAGTGTTAAAGTTTACAGTTTAAAGTTTCTCTAGAAATGTGAATTACTTTTCTAAATAAAAAACTTCTCTTTGGTGAACCTAAGCACACATGCATTCGGAAATTAGACATTTTCTAAATATTTTCCACAGTTACACAGCTTGGTTCATTATTTTTTTTGCCTTTTAGTGCTATTTTTTTTGTTGTTTTTGGTTTAATTATTCAAATGTTTACTTACTAACATTTTATTATTTATTACTTTGTTGTTATTTGTTTTTTAACAATTGTGTTCAACTCCAAGCCGGAAGTAAACTTATGCACACGCATTAAGCCTTAAGTAGCCAAACAATGACGCAATACAGCCAACCCAGCCAACCTAGCCAACCAGCCAACCTAGGCAGAGGACTTGAAGTTACCATAAAAACCGAAATGCACTAACAAATCGGAGAACAATAAGGAGCACGAACGGAACTACGAGTAAATGTTGAGGCTCCACTGTAACTTTTCCATGAACTTTTAGTGAAAATGAAATTTTGTAATTATTTTTTCGTTTGTACGGGTAACTCGGTGAAATTGCGCAAATATTCGCACAACAACAAAACTAACAACTCCAACAAATAGGACAAAAACGTCAGCAACTAAAAAACAACAATCAAAACAGTGCTACAAAAACAAAGTTTTACATTAAAAAGATTAAAATTACTAAATCAACTTAAAAAACATTCACAAAACATTTAAACTCAAATTAAAGAAGTTTTGCATTTAACTCGGAAAAAAAATTTTTAAAATAAACGAAAAATATTTCATTAAATAAATGAAATCACAAAAATACGAAATAGATTTGGGAAGGAGAATTGCTTGAAACACAGGTATAATTATTATCTCTAAAATCTAAGACAGACATCTCTATCTAAGACATCTCAAAGACAGTTCGCTTTGTATCTCGCTTACGAAATTTCCTTTTGAATGCATGAAAAACAATTTTTTTAATCCATATTCGTTAGAGAAACTATATCTAGGTCTTATGACCTCGGTCAGATAGGAATAGAACTGACTTCTTTCGGGTTTTTGCGAGCACATAGTTTAAATGCCAACTCTAGTGCAGATAGATCACTTTGGTATTAAGCTGTTGTGACTTGTTCCGAATAGCAGATTGTAACGAAGTTATGAAGAAGAGAAAAAGGTCTCTATTAATCGGTTGCTACAGCCTTGTACAGAACTACAAATGAAGAGACCGTAATATCTAGTAGATCGTTTCCCCTTAAGAAAGGTGTTTCGGACCCAATAGCAATAATGAATGTTTAATTATCAGCAAGAATAACACCAGTGCTTATAACAGAACAATGCTACGGTTACTGTAGCATTAGCAACTTTGCGGACTTCACATTCAGGAGCAAATGTCTGCAAGTTGGACTGTTGTTATTTGTATTGAAATGCATCTCCCTAGGCTATGTTAAGTTAGATTGGAGTGGAGGTTATGCACACCAAAGCCTACGTGAACATAAATAATAGCCTTTTGTGATACCATGAATAAGATGTTAACAATATGCCAGATCAAACAGACAACCAAATGAATAAGCGGTCTATACATAGACAATAACGAAAATATAAGAACGCATTACTCTTCCACTTAAGTAAGAATATACTAAACTGTCAAGGTTATGTTCTGGATTTTCTCGACCGACAACTGTGACATCTTTTAAATTTGACATCATATAATATCGCAGAATTGGAGAATAATATTTATTTTTAACGTTCGTTTTGATGAAAGAAACTAAATTCTTAATATAAAATATTGTTTTCAATAGAGAGAAAACATTTTACATTCTAAATTTTGTTTAAATAAAAAAAAAATTATTTTTAAGTATTTGGCTTATATGTACCACGTAGTCACGACATTTCTATATGAAGAGAATCTTCGGGAACAAAATTGGTTTATTGCTCGAAGACATAAAATTATAACACCTCGTTGCTTATCACACATAGAAAACATAGAAAACACAGGGCCATATTTAATATTTGATATATTAGAATATGCAAAACATATTTAGATATATAAATTATTTAGTCCTATAAAAATTAAAAATTTTTTTATACAAGATATTATTTATTTACTTATATACTATAACGTAACTAACGAATTTTGAATTTCATTATCTGTTTTTGAAAACTATTAGTTTGATTAAAAAAATTTGAAAACTGTCTCCAAAATTTTAGTTTTTTTCGATATTTTATTTATTTAGAGAAGTTTATTTACTTCTCATCTTCTGATTACTTCAAATACTGGATGGGTGACTTCTGTCATATTTTTCCCTCATTATAATCGCCCCTTCTTTGTTATTGTAGCTGTCAGTTAAGAATACGCCTAAGCAAACTAAACCATTAAAGCACCATTCTGTTAACTGAATTGTTACTACTCACCACGCCTCCGCCGTTTTCAATCCATTTATCCACAAAACGATAAAATTCTAAGTTCTCCACTGATATTTTTTTCTGATACGACCATGACCGATGGATTTGCTGAGATATATGCGAAGAATATTGAATATGCACAAGAATACCATAAACGACTATAAACTTACCCACAAAATTCTTGATCGAGTGTTCATCAAGCCTATTGTCCCCCAATTAATGTGGTTTAATAGGTGTTAATTTGAGATCTGTTAGAAAAATTATTACAAATTTTAATGTGAATGATAATATAAATAAAAGATAATTTCAATTTACTCGTAATCTGTTTAAATCTGGTTTTTGGCAAAATTATTTGCTTTAGTTTGTTTGTGTCTAACAGAAAATAGTCCAATTTATCACGAATCTCGAATTTAATTACTACATCATTAATATAGGAGTTTAAGACTTCGGTTTCCAATATTTTATTCGTTCCTTCCCATGTTTCTTACGAACTCCGCGCTTCCCATCGACCTTCTCCTCAACTTCACAATTCAAAGGGGGTGGCATATTAACAACAAAGATACCAGGTTCTTCAATGTTTGAATCATTTTCTTTATTCTGCTTGGCATTGAGCTCTTTGAGATATGTTACAAATTCTGGTGTGGACAACAAATTCTGTTTATAGGCCGACTCATCGATACTAGTAGAGCAAAGTGAAAGGTTTCCAGAATTTGCCATATCACATACGCCTCGCTTATCAACTATCTTCGGACTTTTCCTAATCACTTTCGGTAATTTGAAATGGCAATATTTACAGTATTTATTACTTTCAACGTCTGATGCAATGCGCTTGCGACCTTTCTTTCCTGGAGTTATAGGACACAGGTCCTCGTCCACTTCACTTTGGTCTGAATCAGAATTGTCCAAAGATGTGTCTTCGATATTTTTCCCTCTACCCCATTTGAAAAGCGAAGAGAATTTCCAACGTCTTTTTTCAGCATCTTCTTTTTGTAGTCGTCTGAGCGCTCTCTCAAAGTTCTTGTTGATATTGTTTGGATGTTTTTTCTTGTATTCACGAATTTCATTCTTGAAATTTTTCACAAGTTCGTTTTGGCGTTTGCGATGACGTCGTAGCTCCTCTTTGAAACCTTTCAACATCTGCTTTTCCGAATCACCATAGTGGTCTTTAATATTTCGTCCCATTTCCACGAATATATTTTGCCGAAATTTTTTCATCAAAAAATTTTGTGTTCAAAACTGAAAAATACAGTAGAAAAATTTTGAAACCGACTCTTCTTCAAAAAATTTTATAATGATTTACAAAGGATTTCAGTTTGAATCGTAATAAAATCACACCTACTTTGTGAAATTATTTGAAAGTAAAGAAATGACATATACTTGATTTAAACAGAGAAATGTTTTCGGAATTATGTGATAATTTTAAGACATTGGAGAGCAAATAGTAGACTCAATAGTTTTGTGCTGCTAATGAAATATGAACAAAACCTACGTCAATTCAGTTTCTTATTTCAAGTACTTCGGCGTAGATTTTACTATGAGATAATCTCTAAGGTCCACTTCTGCGCATAATATATACACAATATGCCACTTAGTGATAAGATAATTACTTAGTGTTCGAATGTTACAGTTTTTGCTATAACACTATTTACTGTAACATCTGGTTACACTTGAAACATTTGATTTCTCCCAAATATTCTAGATATTATCTAGGTATTATTCTAGGTGTTTTATATAAAATACATATATGGTATATAACATTTACTAGTTCATTATTGGTATTATATATTAATGCATAATATTTTTATTATTATATTTATTAAGAATGCAAGTTCATCGCAGCTTTCACACTATCCACACGAATTCCGGTTGCTCCTATATGGATGTCAGCTTTCCGGCAGTGCGATAATTTCACGCTTATAAAACTAGTAGTTTTTGATGATAAAAACGATATTATTCGATGATTTTTTTAAAATCTGTATTAAAAGCAAAATTTCATTCTGGAAGTGTGTACTTCCAACATTTCGTCTTATATAATATAGAGTAGTCATTGACACAACCCCAAACCGAGACACATTTTGAAATAAAATCAAACGCAAAATGAGACAGTACAAATATTAAAATCTATATTAGTGACTATATTACTTATATTCTTCTTTTATGGTTGAAGTTAATATCTTTAGTGTTCTCTAAAAGCTAAATATTTATAAGTCTCGCGATGTACTTGTATTTTTAAATATATAACATCATATATTCCTAGTTATCCCCTTCTCTGCGTCAGTGCATCAGCGTAATTAATTTTCTCGAAGTAAAAAAGTGGCCTACGAAGGGTTCAAATAGAAATGAAAAGACAACAACAAAAATTTTTGTTACTTTATTAAAGTTTGACTAACCATACAGCGCTATATAGAGTATTGCAGGTACTCATCATCAATGGTTTTAAGATATATTCAAATTTCTTTTTAATTAATTTATATTCCGTATATCATTTGTTTAGACTACAAGTGCCAGGCTAAGAAAATTAGAAGCTATAATATAACTCGGCATACTTTACCGAGTAGCAGATTGTTACGAAATTATGATGAAGAGAAGATAATTCCATGTTATCAATCTGTATCAATTGCTACAGATTTTCACAGAATGACAAATAAAGAGCATTAAATATCTAGAAGATCGTCTCGCCTTCAGTAGGAGAATCTTTCTGGCCGCACAACAATAATGAAGATTTAATTATCATACTTTTTAAGGAAAAAAAAGGGGTTAGCAAGAATAACATCAGTGCTTTTAAGAGAACAAAAACGGTTACTGTAGCATTTGCAACTTTGAGGACTTCACATTCAAGAGCAAATGTCTGCAAGTTGGACTGTTGTTATTTGTATTGAAATACGCCTCCTTTGACGAGGTTTAGTTAGGTTGGAGTGGAGGTTTTGCATACCAAAGCCTACGTAAAAAATTAGTACTAAAACGATCAATAATTGCACGAAATGCTTGCTCTCCATGCCAATTATGTTGACCGTAAAAAAGATGAAGTGCTATGAACTTCGGGAACATATTTAATTTTTTTCAAAAAGAATTTCCACAATTTAGAAGCGTTGTTTTAACGTTAGACGATTCCTTATAAATTGCCAAACCTCACTGAATACATATGTTAACATACTATGACATTCTCAGCTGTCAAACCATAGTTATCCATATCGATAGTTCTCATGCAACTTAAAAAACAACGTATATTATAATTAAGTTTTTTTTTTCAAAACAGACGTTAAAAATCAATTTTATTTGTTTTTAATAAAATCGATCCTTTTCCTATTTTTTATTTTGGTTATTTTTAATGCAATCTGCTGTATTTTAATTTATTTTATATATATTTTCTTCAAATTAATTTTAATTTAATTTTATGACTTAAAAATTCAAAGAAATAATAGCGGTAATTTTTTCTTTCAGAGTTGTAAAAAAACAGCATTAAGTCTGGTTGAAACAATTTGGCATCACTTTTAAAATAGTGATCTTGTTTTGACATATGTTTCTTGTTGTGTTCTGTACAATATAATATATAAAAATTATAATCATAATTAATTAAATATAATTAATAAATTTAAATAAAAGAAAGCAAAATGAAAATTGGAAGGCCAATGGTAAGCATTTTTATTTTATATATATAAATTAATTTATATAATTATGTATTTGAATTTATTAGTGAATAAAATACTCGTATGATTTTAATGGATGATTGGAATTTTGCAACATATTTCCAGTAAACATTCACAATGGACTGAGTTTTGAATTTGGCTGCACGAAAACTTAAGACTTGAAATTTTTTGCGAGTAAAGCCTAACTCTGAAGATTTTAAGAGGATTGTTGTGGCTTCATATGTTTTCTTTCGTAAGTTGCGTGTATGTTTTTGGTACTATGAAAGGAAAAATTACAGCTTATATATCCTTCACTTCCATACAAAATAGGTTATGAGAAAATTTGGGATAAAATCCTTTTAAGTATCATTTGGGGTGCGGTTAAAATTTGAAATATGAGAAATTCGAAAATGTATTCTTTAAATAAGAAGCAGTTAATGAAATTTAAATAATTTTAATAAACATGCATATTTGCAAATTAACCGCAAGTAATTTTCCTGCTCGGTCATTTAAGTACTTAAGCGCCATTTCGATATAATTTATGTGCTGTAAAGTGGAAAATATGTGCACCATTTCATGTTGCCTTCCACTGGAAATAACCGTAGAGAAAAAAAAAGTGGAAAAAAAATATTTGAAATAAAAAAAAAAATTTGAAAAATTTAAATTAAAATTCGTACTTACACGGAACACTCAAACGTCCATTTACCTACTTACGCACGTACACCCGTAGTTCACATTTCACTAGTGAAAAATCGCCGCTGACCATGAATAATGCAAACATTAGCGCACTCATGAGATTATTCAGATCCTGTCCAGAATCAGGATAATGCGCTCTGCAAAAAAAGACGATTTATATATAAAAATTCATAAAACAAAAAATATGAACAAATTTAAGAAAATTCTCCATACGAAGCAACAGACCATGCTCTGCTCAGTAGGAACGAGTCGATAGGTGGGTGTGATACGGCGACTAGTAGATCGACTGCGTTCGCACCACACTCAATCACTTGGACCGAAACACGCCATTCGGAAGGCAACTGTAAAGATTTGGTTCCTTGTTCGTTGCAGTAAACGAAGCAAAATGTTATAATAATTTCATTTCATTTTTATTTAATTTTCACTTTCATAAAACTGTTTTCATACTTAGTACGTGTGATGAATGTACGTACATCCTGCCATTATCCTGTTCCCAAGTTTCAACGGCTTTAAAGAATTCAGAAATATTTTTATTTCACTTTTTTTGTTGTGGTTAGTGTTGCGTTTCCTTTCTTTTATCATTTTTTTCTTTATATATATTATTTTTTTTTGTTTATATTTGCTGCCATATTTATTTCATATTTGACTTTACGCGTTTTCCTCTCTCCTCGCTGAAGTTAAATTATGTTATATACAAAATGTGAAGTGGTAGATGCATATCAGACAAGTCCTGTTGCAAATATTCTTCTCAAATTAAAGCAGACTTTGGCAGGGGCGTAGTTGGGATTTTGTCAAAGGGTGAGATCCTTACGGTCTATGCCAGAAAACATTTTTTTTTTTGGTAGTATTTGTGCAGCATATCAACTGTAGATTATACTGCCAAAGGGATTGATATAACAACTTTCAACGAGTATATTTCTCTCTGTAGAAAAATCGTAACATTTTTTTAAATGAATTTTTGACTTAAGTATCTTATTTTGTACGTCGGTGAATACTGTTTTTTCGCATCCGTTCTTTTGGATAGGTGTGCCTAATTAGGCTTGCAGACCAGAGTACGTAAGATAAATAGCAGCTCAACGTGAACCGTAACAAAAGTGTGTATTAGTGCAAGTGTTTTGTGGTGGTAGTTACTTTAAAAATTTTTCTAAGTGTCCTAATTAACTCACATTTAAATTTTCGCAATACTGAAAAACCTGCGAAGGTTATAAACTTCATCAAGTTGTGATTATTTGCAGTCATTTCTCAAGGGTTGCATACAATAATGTTTGTTACGAATGTTTTGGAAGTGAAACAAAGTGAATGTATCCGAAGGTCAAGGCTATCTAAAGAGTGAGAAGTCATCAGTTTTATGACCTTCATTTCACAGGTACACTATTATTTCGAGAGATACAAATGTTTTCTATGTGCGTCTGTTAAATATATTATTTATCACTCGTGGTTTTTTTTCTGTGCCTTTGAAAGCAACCGTATAAAACCCGTCTACGACTTCAACGTATAAAACCCACCTTATCAGAATGATTAGTAAATAGTAGATATTAGGCACGGAAAATGTGTAAGTCCATTATACTGTGAAGTCTGTTCCGAAACTTCACAAACAATTTTGAGTTCTTTGAGTGAATGGTGAATGTTTGAAAGAGGTACAAAGCTGAAGTTTAGTCAAGCTAAAGAAGACATTGAATAGTCAACTACTGTCGTACATAAATTTTTTGCAGGTGCAATGATTTTCGACAGTTATTAATGGATTTGCAAAACCACAAACGCTACAATTAAAGTGAAATAAAACGAAAAACAGAACAAAAACTAACAAATAATGGAGAATAGTTAAATTTAGGATTGCAGCAAAGCAAACCAAACTGTAACAGTCCATCTTAACAAGTGAAGTGGCTGAAGCCTCAATGTAAACTCAAGAGCTGATGTCGTGGTTATTCTCTTTGCCCCACTAATTATTATGCAGACTAGTCTCTGCATAAACTACGAAAGTTTATCTATCACAGTCATTTGCTGAGCTTTCTTGTACGAGATGGATGACTGAGTTGAAGACTGAAGTCCCAGTGTTTGTTAATGAGGTTCCTGGTAGTTTACTTGGCTTACAGCTGATTGTTGGGAAATAGGAACAAATAAAAACCGTCTGGCTGAAGTCAATGATGGAAGGTCATAAAACAGCTACGAAGCATACCAAACAAGTTATTCATTACTTCATTTATACGATTCAAGCTTTTCTGCAGAAGACTGTTAAGAAAAAAACACGACAGTTCGGCTCAAGAGTACTTTATTCAAACAGAGAGAGCAATATTGAAAGCAAAATGTATAAAACAAAATAGAATTGCACAGAGTTGCATTTTTTATCAGTACTTTACCTAATATTTTTGATTTATAGCTTTAAGTAACATTTTAAAAGGGTTAACTCTTTGACTCTCTGACAGGTTTGATAGTCTTAATAATTCAGAATTTATATTATTGCTTGCTTCCTTAAATAGACGTGGTTCTGTTAATCACCACAGATTACGGAAAGCTGACACTTGAGCTGACTTCCAATAATATACACAGTCCACTTTATCTGCTTAGTGGTAAGCCATTTTATTATAATAATTGAGTTCGGGGAATTGAACTGTTTGACAAGCAACACAAATACATCCTTGGAATTATTATTTCTCTTCATTTCAAAGAAAATATTCAATAATAATAATGAATATTGTTTATGAAACCCAAATAGTTTTCGACAATGTCAGACAAAGCAATAAATTTCTAAGATATTTTTTCCAATTTAGCATAAAACTGGAGTAAAATTTTGAATATTGAACGCAAGACAATCCCTTGCCACCCCAACTTACTGAAATTGTTGCTATAATTTGGCCAATTGCACTGGAAAAATCAGTTGCAATGGAAGCAAAAGAAGAGACACACATATAGGTATCTTGGCATCCGTGTCCTCTTGAAGGTAGGTGTGCAAATGTAGATATATGTTAGAATGCAAGTATAATCGAATACAATGCCAATGGGAGTTGGAAATGGGAAGTGGGAAGTGGGAGTGGATCTACTAACAAATTGAAATTCAACACACGCAATTGTCAGTGACAAATGTAACAATTTCCAAATGTTGTAAGCGAATAATAAAATGGAGAAAATATAAAACAGAAAATAAAAGAGACAATAAAATGAAAAAGCAGGAATAGAAAAATATACAAAAATAGCAATAACAAATTTACTCCACAAACAACTGTGGTTCCGGAACAACTAAACTATTTTTGTCGATGAGGAATGCAATTAAATTTGAATCGCACCCGAGACTTGTTGCACGGGACATTGTTGTGTCAGTAGTGTAGATGCAGATACTGTTAGAGAGGTTATGGGTCCTCGTGATGATGCGCTTAGATTGAGTTGTGCTGCATATTAAACGTTTGCGTGTAAACGGGGATAAGTTAATTAGCAGAGAGTGATTTGCATGCGAAACGCCGCCCAAAGGCTGCCGTATTGCATATAAATGTGGAACGAGATGTGCTCGTTGGCCGGCAGATTTTATATTTTATGTTTGCTAAGCAATTTGAGTAACCTTGTGCATTTCCTTTAATCTGCCACAGTTGCTGCGACGGCATACACACATTGTACTAGTAGACGTGTTGAACTTTCAACTAAACCATCTGGTTGCTGTTTTCATTTCCTTCCGGTTGCAAACGCGCGCCATCATGTATGCAACCACCGACACGTGTGCCAGGCAATAAGCGTACACTGAATTTCGATTTTTGCCATCTTCCATTATGTATTTTTGTTTTTTTTTCCGAAAGCAACTATTTCTGGTCTTTTCCAAAGAAAAATTAAAAAATTTGAAGTAAATTAACCAGAGCACGTAACAGATACACGTACTTTTGCTTGTGTGTTGCTACAAGACAAACATGGACCGAAAACGAACTCCGCAGAAATGAAGCAAACAAAGTCAATCGAGTCAGAAGTAAAAAATTTCCAACTCATCGAAAGCCACTAGGCAGTCATTATCAATGATAGTGAAGTGAGTCTGTTACAAATTTATGCCAATTCTTTGTACGAGTCAAAATCAGTATATGAAAAGAAATTTGGTTGGTTGACATTAGCGGTGGTAGACCTACCTCTTCTGTTCAAATATATGCGGGATTTTGTTACCATAGGCCTGCTCAAAAAAGTCTTAGATCGTAGATCTAGGTTCGTAGACTGCCATAGAGTCCATTTTGACAAACCTGGTTATTGGCAAATTTAAACCAAGCATCTAGAGACATCAAAAAGTAGTGACTTCACTGAGATGCTTAAAAAAACAGTGAGGACCTCGGTCCTCGGTTAATAAAGTAATTATTAATAACTATTATTGTTTTATAAAAACTTGGCATATTCACAGTATATAGGTTTCATTGTAAAGAAAAATCTGACATGTCTGAATCTCTTGTTGACTTTACTGTATATGGATCAAACCTATTACATTTTATGCAGTTTATGTTTGACGAAGCAAAGCTTGACACTGCGATCGTAATTAAAGTAGTAAGTTACAAATGTTTGCTTATACGCTATGTATGGCGGGAACTATATATATCTATTCCATAACAACTCTAAAGTGCATAGTAGGTCTTACCTCTGGGTATCTCTTTGTTAAAGAACGGCTATTTTAAGTTCATTTCGACTTTATCATGCGTGAAGAGTTTGACATCTAAACATCTAACATCTCATTTAACGAAGGTGCCAGGTCCAAACACTGGTTCCTGGAAAGATACTGGTACATGCAATATAGATATACGATATAGTATGAAGATAAAATTAAATGCCCTCTATAGTGATCATACGAATTAAAGAAATGGAACTTTTGGTGTAGAACCAATATTGATTTTGTAGTACACTGAGGGTACAAAAATTTCAGAAGTTGGGAAATGAGTTTAATCCTCAGCAACTACAACTCGTTTTGCTGGTCCATTACCTTTTAAGCGGTGGTTCATTTTATTGAGGAAGTGATAGTGATCTCACTAAAAATTTTTAAGGCCTTCAGAAATTGTTCTCCAGAAAGTGATCTACAAGAATTGTGGTAGAATGCTATGACATGCTGCGAACAGAAAACATAAATCAATAGCAACAAGTACGCGGACAATCTCGAAAATATTGGATTGACTATTCAGTTTTATTGTAATATAAATTGGATCACAACAGTGTTTCCGATAAAAAAACAGCTGTTTATAATCAGGACAAGTGATTACTGGCGTAACATTTAACCAACTTTACACAGTTACAGAGCAATTTCTTTCTTACAACTCTGATATATATGATTGTTAAAAACTAAAAAGCATTGCGATTGAATACATTTACATCAGTGGATCTGATGTTATTGGCAGGTAATCAAAGACAATTATATCCTATATTACCATCTTACCAAGTTGTACTCGGTCAAGAAATGCAACTTCACAGCGAATGAATAATAGTCAATGTGGTCATTCTACCCGTGTATATTTAGATTTTAATCACACCTACCACGACACTCTCTTTAAGAACAGTATTTCCTTTAAAAAACTGATATAGTAACATATGCAAAAGTACAAAAAAAAATTCGTCGTACAATTGTTTTCTGGACAACGCGTGCTTTCAGGATTATCGCTAAAATCGCTTCAAATATGATCTTATATTTATATATAGATCGGATGAGTAGGTGTGCACCTAAACAGTGAATTAGAAATTAGTGTTTGGGCAAAGGTCTTATAGAATCTATTTAAAACATATGAATCCGGAGAGAAGGTTGACACTATATTTAATACGGTACCCATGTATAAAATAGGTATTAGCAAAGACCTGGAAATCAATGCGGAGCACCTTCATGGCAACCTGTTTAACCCACCCAACTAAATACATTGTAAGCATAAAAATTAATTATTGAAGTATATGTCGGCTGATTATAATTTAATATATTTAATATTTGTAGTTTATATATGTTTCATCATCGTTATCAGTTCAAAAAAATTTCTTAAGGCGTTTCTATATGAAAATTCTGTAACTATGTTGACGAGTTTAGAATGACCTTTCACCACTAATATTTTTTTCAGTGAAACCAGAACTTAGAGTTTTGCCTTATCGTTTTTAAATACTATTTAAATTTGAGAATTCATTTCTCAATAAGTCACTATTATGGACGTCATACTAGGGTCGCTAATTAAATTTCTTCTTCTTGTAAAACACAACTTGATTTTTATTATTAGTACTGAAGTCACTCACTCAAAAATTCGTTTTTCTATTTCAAATTTTTAGTTTTATTAAATTTGAGTTTGAAATGTACACATAAAATTTTTGCTTAATTTCGAGTTTAGGAAGGAGCTAAGACATAACTATTTTTCTTTTTCCTCGTAATCAGTCACCGGATTTCGTTTTATAAAAGGCGATATCACTTTAAGCCAGCGAAGTCTCCAGAACATCTTAGAAAATTGGAGATCTACAAAACCCAATAAAAAATAAACCGTTATGTGAGTATAGACTTTAATTACATACATTCAACTTACCATGTTACTACTTGGTGAATCCATCCTAAATCCATATTCTAATATGGAGAGAGCTATAATATTAGGAATTGGAATTCATTAACACCACAATGCTTATCACTATAATTCTTGACATTTGATACAGGGTCACCTTCCTACTTTACTGTTGCGGAGATAATGACTGGTAGTGATAGTGCTTTGCTGTCACTAAAGCCAATCTAGATCAGTTGTCCTGGATTTTGTTGTTGGATCTTAAAAGTTTACCCTTATACAATAATTGATAACAAATAATATCAGGTATCGATTTTTTAGTGAAAAATTTACTTACCCTACTATCATTTTAAGCAAACCAAGTGCTAGGTCTAAAGATATTAAGAAATTGTAAAATAATCCAACTTAAAATTTGGAAAAAACCACCCTGATTTTGATTAGTCAGTGATAAGTTTACCGCTTCTGCTTGGATATGTTCAGATGAATTCTCATCATCAACAATCTCATCGTCATAAGATTCCATTTTCTTTCTGCGCCTTCTCTCTCTGTCTGCATCTATTCTTATTTGAGATCTTGAACGTCTCATTCTTTTTGGTTCTTGTTCAGAATTTGAGGCGTGGCTGCTGCTTCTATTCAGTCTTCTTGATGAACGCTTTTCCACTAACGTGCCGTCGGAATCAAGTTTTGTTGTTGATTTTGATTTCTTAGGTTTGTGTGTGTGTTCCTGTTCCAATTCTTCTTCCATACTATCGTAATCAAGTTTTGTTTTGGATCTAAATTTCTTTTTTTTTGGTTCTTCAGATTTCATAATATCACTGTTTTTTCGATGTAACATTCTTGAAGAACGTTTCTCTGGTACTGTATTATCGGAATCAAGTTTTGTTTTGGATTTTGATTTATGTTTCTTGATCGCACCTTCAGAATCCATGTCATTATTTCTTGCGTGTAGTTTTTTTGATGAACGCTTTTCAACTAAAACATGTTCCAAGTCAGGACCCATCAAACCACTATCTTTTTTATTTAATTTTTTCGATGAATGTTTTGCTGTGACCATTTTTTCTGACGATTCTGTATTACATATATTTTTATATATTTATAAAAAATTTTAAGAATTCTCATTTATTCTCATTTACAAGTTTAGTTCAGTCAAATGGACATATAGTCACGTATTAGATTTTTGTATGTATCTATTAGAGAAAATGCTATGATATGTATAGCTCTATTAACGTGATAAAGTATTGAAGAGAATGCAATTGTTGTTTTTACTACCTATCGCAATTTAAATTGTCTATTGTACTAAACTCTTTTGTTTCAGCCAATTCTTAAGCTTTCGCAGTTCTTTATGTATGTTATGTGAGAAGTAACGAGTCTCTCTCTCTCTCCAATACTCAAAGAGACTTAAGACTCCAAGACTTAAGCGAATATTACACATGAGATTTTTTTGTGAAAATTTTTTGTGGAATGCGAAAATTGTACCAAATTTGATGAGTAATAGTAACATTTGAAATATTTACAAAAAAGTTTGATGAAAATCAAAAAATTTTGAGTTTTCCCCTAAATGGCTCGTGATTTTCGTATACAATCGGATTTTTGTCGACTTATAGCCGACATATAGCTTTTTTAGATGATTTTGACAAGGCCATCAATTGGCTTTTTCAATTAAAAATTTAAATATATAAAAAAGTGTAAATAAAATGAGTTAAGTTTTTATAAAAAATTGTTTTCTTTGCAAATGATTGATGGTACTTACTCCTTCTAGAAGTTGTGGCGGCTTCAAAATCATCGTCTTCATCTTCTGCTTGATTTGCATTGTATGGAGTGAATTTTTTAAACTTCATATTTAAGAAGTTTCGATGCAGAACTAATCAAATTAATAGCTATAACTCTTTATAGCTCCTTCCTATTCCTAAATACCAACAAAAAAGTGTTACTGAGTTTTGAAACAAAAAAAAATATGTAGATATTGATATAAAAAAATATATCGTTACCAAATTATAATCATAGAAAATTTGAAAATCATAGCTTACTGATTTAATAATGATACTGCAGTAGTTGTAATTAGTTCTGTAATAGAATTCGGACCTTAAAATATGTTTATACTATGAGTTTAAAACAGGAGTATAAAAAATCGAGTTGCTTAAGTCAGTCTTTCTCAATCGCCAGGTCGCGAACAGTAGGGCTTATGTAAAATGTTATGGATATTAAATTATATATATTATAATATAATTCATCAGTTATAAGTGTCAAAGAGAACTATCATTCAAGACATGATATATTTGGGTCTACGTTAAAGTTTGTCGTTTTACAATATGTATGGTCTAACAATCGCTGAACTGACTAGAATTACGAAAGCTTTCTATAAAAATGGTGTCGACTTTTCTTCAATGATGGGACTAATTTTTTGCTTGATGGATCAACAAATAAAATTGTCGCATCTGGCGCTATGTAAGTTCACTTATAAGTATCGAAGGAATTTATGCAATGAATTTTGCAAATGCCAATACTCAATTCTGAGCATTATAATAATAATAATAATAATAATAATAGTATAATAATAATACTATTAAGTAATAGTATTATTAATAATATTAATAATTATTTATCAAAATCTTGATTACAAGTGTGTTTAATTTTCATAATTTTCAATTTGATTTTATCCATAAAATGTATAATATATGCAAGATATTTGGCAAATAAACATATACAATACTAATAATAATATTATTAATTCATTATTTCTTTTTTCTTATCAACAATTCACAACAATATTTGGTACATATCCTTTGAGACATATGATCTAAAGAAATAATATAGTAGAATCAATTAAGAGAAATAAAATAAAAAGTTGTTGGTTCAGAGAGACAGAGAGTAAAGAAAACAAAGAAAGCAGAGAGTTTCTGACTTCAGAGCTTGTGACTGCATTACTGAGATTAGCAGTGACCTTCTTCTTCCAAATTATTGAGATGTTTCACAAAGAAATTTATTCGATGTTGAGGTGTACCTTATAGACAGTATTTACATTATACTGGTAGTGTATTTTTGTGGTCGTATGAAAACTGACTATTGCTGTACTCTTGATTCTATGTACTTTGATTCTACTCAATCAAATAAATATATTTTATTATGAATGACATTTACTTGATTTAAGCGGAAAAATTTTTATTTATATTAAAGTTTTCTAATTTTTTTATGTGCCCTTAATATAAAGAAACACTAAATTAATTGAAGAGGCACTCGATTTTATGAATAATCGCGGGGCACCTGAACAATGTCCTCAGAATTATGGGATAATTTTAAGACATTTAAATTTAAATTAAAAGTGACACATCAATAATAATAAGTAAATTTATATTTTAATTTAATAAAATTCCAATTTTATTTGTATATACATATACTGTGGAAATAAATACATCCATAGAGTGTTTTATATAATAGTAATGTACAAAACAGAGGTTTATATGCTGCTTAGATAAATAATAGCATATGAAATATATAAGCGCATCGAAGTATATGAGTAACGTCTGCCAAGTATCAATTTTCCTAATGGTGTTCAATAGTATTGATTGCATACATAATCAACCAATGAATTCCTACATGAGATGCTCCTGAAATTTGATCTGGTAGAATTACCTAAAGAAATATTAATTGATTATAGACTTTTGATGCACTGTGTTTTTTAATCCAACTTACATATTTGGTCTATGGCAGTATGTTGAATATCTCTTCGAATTTTTGGTTTCACACTTTGTGTACTAACGTTAGCTGCCACGACCAGCCTTATCCTCAGCATCTGCTTCCCTGTTAGTAGCACCTGCTTTGGATTTGTTTTTACCCATTGCATTAATCACATTTTTGACTTTTTGAGCTGCTTCCTTATCTTTTTGCGTCCAAGTGGTCCCCAAATTTCGACAATCAGTTATGCGACTTTGAATTAAACATTCTATATCATCTAAATATTTCTGATATTGATCATTTTCGGGATTGGTGTTGCCACTCATTTTTGGTTTTTTGTTTAGAAATCAAAAAAAATTGCGCAGATGAATTTTTTTATATTTCAATTAATTTTTTTTTATAGAATTAAATTTAAAAGAATACTTGTTGATATTAAAATATTTGCTTCAACTATGTTCATTTAAATAAAGCTGCTTTCTTAGAGAATTGTGGAGCGTTGCTTCTTCCACTTCACCTATAGGTAGGTTAATAACGCATGCTATAGAATAAAATATATCCTCAAAAATTTCATGTTTTTTTTTGAATAATTGTTTTTTTAACCATACAGTAGTTTAGAATATTCTCAGATGTCTGTCATCAGCAATACTTGGAAATAGTTTTTAGATTTAATTTTTTAAGACTATATAGAAGCACACAAATGTTGTACTTGACTTGCTTTATTGTTGTGCTGTGTTGTGGTTTTACGAGAGAAAAGTTCTTTGTTAGATCTTTGGTCTTACAAAAGACCTTTATCGCGACATTGATATAATTCAGCGAATTAACACCCAGCAGTTTTGCTGGCTTGATCATGTCATGAGAATAGATGAAGATGCTTCAGTGAAAAAGGTATTTGAAGCAAAAGTTGAAAGAAGAAGTTGCAGAAGTAGAACATGTCTCCGGTGAAGTGGTCAAGTCAAAGGAGGACTAACCTCCTTTGATATACGAGAGTAGAGAAGGCGCTTGGAGAGATCTGCTGCGACAGACTGAAACTCGGTAACGGGTTGTTATGACCAAGCAAGTAAATGTGGTGGTTTCTTCAATGAATACACTCGCTATGGTTTTTTTTTTTTGAAACAAACATGAAAACCACAGCTATACCCATTGTTTTATTAATTTATTTATTTATTTTTGCAACTTGTCGTTCATTGCAGATAATGTGTCAATAAAATATTTATAGACAAATTTTACAGTCATGTTAACTTTACATTTGGTAAATAAATCGATTTTGTCTTCTTTTACCTTTTGAGCAAAGTACATCGATTTACATATGCGGAAGCTTTGTTTTGTTAAATGAAAATATTTCTTATTTCTTCTTCGACTGGTGAAATTTTGTAGTTCAAGAGATTGTAACCATATCTCTAGGTAATCAGTTTAAAACTGGTATAGGATGTATATTCCATTACATAGGAAAGGAATATACATCTCCATCATGAATTTTAAGGTTGTGAGATTTTAGATATTTAATGGCAATATTTTTAAATACAGCAATCATGAAGCTTTCCAAATAATCATCGATGACAGACTAACACCTTGAATATTTCCATAAAATCTAACAAGCATATATTCTTTCTTCCATTATCTTCCATTATTACATTCTATCTTTCATTATTATCAATAATGTCTTTTATTCAGTGGTTTCGGTTAACAATAGAATGAAAATTTCTAAAATCGAGTAGTTAAATTGATATTAATTTTTTCTCATTAAGTGTTGGATTGAGTCTATGATCAACCTTTGAGCATTTCAAAATATACTCATTGCTTTCCTGCTTTTGTAATTGAATAGAGTAGAGTAGAGTTCTTATATTCACACAAGCCTTTTGACATAACAGAAACAGTAAAATAAAAATATATTTCTTTACTGCAAATGAAGATATTTCTATTTGAATCACATAATATCTTCCTTTAGACGTTTTGTAACTGCTGACAAAATATCAAAGTATATAAAGTTAAGATATACTTAAATAAGCCTATCTTCTTCGAAATAATAAGTAAACACTTAACTTTTTGAACTAAATACGTATATAGGAGTACATCTCTTTGTACCATAAATAATTTTAATATTAAATATAAATTCAGTTTGACTTACACTTACGAGTCAATCCACAAGATGAGTCTTAATCCTAATGGAATTTCATACAAATACAATACACAACATCTTATAAATATGTTATTTTCTTCTATGATTTTTAATAGAAAAGTTGAGTAAACAAACATTGTTAAATAAAAAAAATAGTCCAAAAAATTTCATTTATTTCAGCAACTTTATTATTTAAATCTTTTAAACCAATTTTTCTCGAAACCTAACACTTTTCTCATTTTACGCACCGAATGTCTAGAGATTACATATGTTTAATCAAAACCATAAAATGGAAATTGTGAGGTGAAAAGATTACGAACTTTTTCTCTTTTTTTCGGAATTTTTAAGAAGATTTCAGTTTGGTGTCAAAATCTTTTACTGATAAAACCTTGACTTAAACCAATTTCGCTTTGACAGATTTCTGCTTATAAACACAATATTTTCCTAAATTGCAAAAATTTCAAAAATTTCAAAATCAGGTGGAAATTTGCCCAACTCCTTTGTGCAGTTCGTAAAATCTGAAAATTGTTCAGCTCAACGTAGAAGAAACTCAAGGCGCCGAGAATAGGAGGATGACAGTGAGGGCAGCACAATCTACTAAAGAATTTATGACACAAATTCAGCTTATTTGTTATAAATAAAAGCTTATTTGTGTTGGATAGAATCTGCAGTTTTTGCTAATTTCTTGCAGTTGCAAAAATTGACTTTTTTAAAAATTGGTTTGACCTTTTGTGCTCCGACCCAGGTTTGCCACTGCACCTTGTGCAAAATCGTTTCCAGTCACAATAATTCTGCCAGTTCGGATATTTGCGTCCTGTCAGATATTTTCATTTTTTCTTTATAATCCTTTCATTTTCACTTCATTTTTTATTGTTTTTTTATACTTCGGTTTTAGCTTTAGTTGACAGTTTCTTTTTAAATTTTTTTTGGAATTTTTTCATTTTCATTTTCATTGGTGATATATATAAATCGTATTCCGTAAATTGGATGTTTTTATTTTCAAGGTGGTGATCTCAACAAATAACATGGATTTCTTTTCATTTACAGTTATTGTTCTACTTTTATTAAGTAAAATTAATTAAGTTCTATTTGAACTGAGCATTAAAAATAAGTTTTCAGTATTTAAATCTAAATTTAACATTTGTATATTGAAAAACAACATTA